TTTGATAGTAGGATGCCGATATGACGTGTAAAATGAATGTCCTCCTCCCTAGGCTCATAGTAAAGCGTTTCTTCTGTGGGTGTGGGGACGTGCTGCTGTATCTCTTCATCGCTGTCGGCAATGACAAACAGCTGTGCAACCATGGTCTCCAGCAGTGATTGCATCATGGTTGCTGCTTCCTCCTGCATTGCAATGTATGAAGGTTCATGCATCCTGCATTTAGGGTGGGAGCAGCAAACAACATGCGATTATGATACAATTAAGAGTGCATGTCATTGGCTTTCAAGCAGGAGACAGGCGATGTTTCTGCCATTTTTTCGCAATAGAATCGATGGATCGATGCTCAGCCCATTTTCAACCTTGTGAGGTTGTCATCAACTGCTAAGATCACTGAGGCAGGGTTTCACAAGTTTGGACAAACGCATTCCTACTGGACAGTCACAGTACATATGCGCTCATGCACACTCATGCATGGCCAAAACTGCAATGAACGTTCCAACAGATAATTCCTCAACACATACACTCCCATCTTACAAATCCGATGCTGCGATATGCTACCAACAGTACACAACTGCCCCAGACAACACCATCTCCAAACAGTATGGCTCAAGGCAGCAGCATCTCCAACAAGTGCAGTTACGCAACCAAAATAACACACTCCTGCTGCAGGCTGCAGTTTCTCAAATGCAACTATCATTGCAAGGGCTTGCCCTCCTCCATGTTCACATGTATCCGGTGCAATCTATGGCACCTCACTGTACCCAAAGCTCATCCAACTACAGATAAAGCCACAAACAAAGATGCGACCTCAGCGCACATGCCACCCTTCGAGTGCATGTGCTCCCAAGGCATCAGCAGGGGAAAGAGGGAAATCACTGTGGCAAGAAAGAGAAACACATTGTGCAATGGCCCCCCCCCCACTGAGAATAAAGACTGTGCGATTGTGATCCATGGTGCAAAGCTGATGAAGAAGTATCTGAAGGCAGGGTAAAAACACACAACACTTTGCAACACGCACTGCCATTGCACGAAAGGGCCCGCATTCAGCATGGCAACCACCAGCACAATTGTCCTGTGGTTTGCTGCATCACAACAGGCCTGGCTCAGTGAAGGGGGAACAAAGCAGATCATATATGTAACTCCTTTAGAGGTGAGTACTGGTGTCATATGTGGGATACCAAGTACAAACCACGTTGCAAGGCAAGAGCACACTCTTGTATATGTGTACAGTGCCTGACATCGTCCTTTGGAGCACCTTTATCAGTGGGTGCTATTGTCCTGGCAGAACAATTTGGCTTTTGGAATAGCACCGCACATCAAAACAACATCAGCAACGGTTGGGGAGCAATAGCACCCCAATAGCACCCCAATAGCACTGCCGATGCTACTCAGGCCCAGAATAGCACCGCTCAAGGCCAAATAGCACCCCGGAATAGCACTGGTGCTATTCGGCAATGCTGCCTCAGTAAGATGGCACGGCAGCCAATGAGAACCGTTCCTGGATAGCTCCACCGGTGCAATAGCACCGACCGATAAAGATGCTCTTAGGCATGCAAAGGCAGTGGCTTTCAATAGTTTGATAAGTGGAATCATTGAGGATACGAGTGACGAGTGTGAAGCACCCACCAAGGAGGGGCTTTTTGCAGGAGAGGCAGTGAACCCCAGGACCTGTGTCCGACGGTCGCCAGGTGGTGTCCTCCTGTGCAACAATTCAGCAAGAACGGCCTTGACGCCCAGCACAAATATAAGTCACTTACTGGATGTGTCAATATGTTCCAGCCAATGCTGCAAGGAAAAACGGTGCTGACTATGGGTATGATGCAGCACGTGTGCACATATGCCTGGAATGAATGGTTTCAGAAGGGCTTGCAGATCTGAAAACTGGAGGTGATTTTCCTTGTATGGAGGTCCAGCATTGGTGGTCTATGCAAATGGTAGGATATGCTGCTGGGCCCTGCAAGATCTTACCATACACACCAACGTTGCAATCAACGATTTTGTTGAATTCTGTCGAAACAATAAGGCTTATTCTTCACACCTCCAATCACTCGTCACTGGACTGGTGCATCCCGACTGAATTCTTTTGGTTACATCGATTTCCATTCACAGGCACACGTGCTGGCAACAAACCGCACACATCCACTTGCTGCACTCACATGTGCCTTCACATCTCATGCTACTATCTTCCATTGCCAACAAGCTGAAGAACTAGCCCGATGTGCAATTGCCCAGTGCAGCCGTCAGCACCTCTGCGTGGAGTTGTTGCAACGCAACATGCGCACGTAGCATTACCCACCTGTAGTGCTCCATTATCTTGGCATAAGGATGGTCACCGTGGGCATGGTGACACTCATCCAGGACCTGCATCCAAAGTAATCCCAACATGCTGTAGTCGATCCCATATTGTACATACGTGGTGAATGCAAAGACTAATACTTCCTCCGTCCCAGATTAACTGTCGTCTGTTTGAAAGGCTAAATTTGTTATAAGGACAGCCTCAGAATTTCAAAACAAAGTCAAAATCGAAAAGATTGCATCTTGAAACCCTTGACTATCAATTTTCAAGAAGGAAAAGTGAGACACGACCCTTTTGAGCGCAAAGCGAAGGTAATTTTGGTCATTTTCGACCCCAAATATTGAGATTTACTATGTAAAAAGACCCTTGATACAAAGTATGCCAAATCCTCAATACTTAATGGATTGACTTGAAATTTTTATGGTGTACTCATAACTCAAAAACACAACCGTAGGAGAAATTTTGTTGAAAAAAGGTGCAGGCATCATGGAGAAATAATGGCCTAAAATCATAGACGACAATTAATCTGGGACGGAGGAAGTACATAGTTGGCAAGACCAAGAGTCCAGGGCTCCGCTATATAACACTGGCCACAGTTATGAGACTGAGGGCTGCTGGTCACTCTGGTTTCAATCTTTAATGCATGCGTGAGGTACAGCCCTTCCCACACGTGCATTTCCTCCATCACTTGGCTGACTATCCACGCATCAAGATTGCACTAACGGACTGGCAGTAACCAACCAGGCCAGCAGCATTGCTGCAAGGGAGCACAAACTGGTCTGCACCGTGCATATGTCTAGCTGAACAAGCCCACGGTTCTTCTCATCTAAATAAACACAAATCGGGGTAGCGAAGCAAGAGGCCTGAGTGGCCCTGTGAGTCATCTACCAGTGTGTGGCACCTCCAGGGACTTGAACGTTGTTCTGTCAGGGCTCACTGGCATGAATATGGCAGTCACAACTTGCATGGTTGGGTTGATTGACCTACCAGCATGTCTACCTCAGTCATACGCGCAGCCTGCTTCTCCAGGAGGTTCAGAAAGATCTGGGCAGTCATGACCATGACACTGTGGTTGTTCCGGTGCCATTGCCACAGTTCTGGAATGAGTTGGTTGTCGCTGGAGAAGGCATCCACTCTCCAGCTGCGTTCGAGGAATCCCTCCACCACAAACTGTAGGGCCTGCTGGGTGGCCAGGGGCACAGTTGGGCAGATCACGACCGCCGTTGCATTATTGTTGAGTTCCAGCATCCGCCTGCCACCACAAACACAATCAGTTCAGGTGGTCTCCCTAATCTGCTGAGGTTGAAATACCAGGTTGACATTGTACTGCATACTTGCTAGTACAGGACAAACAGGACAGTCTTATTGATCCCTAGCCTCATGCATGTAATTACATTTGTCAAGCATCTGACACAGTAAGCACATGCGCCAGTCTGGTGACGTTTGTGTAATGTTTCCTGAATCAACATGCGTCCCAAGTACACAAGGCATGCACGGCGATCTCTATGCGTGTGCTGAGAATCATTCTACCAGATAGGCAACAAATAGACAATTCTATCAGCTGCTCATGTCACCCTGCCTTGCCTTGGATTACAGCAAATGGGTAACATTCTAGCATCTTGTGACTGATATACAATGTGCATAATTCAGAATGAAGGTCTGGAAAGCAGGCAACACATTGATTCCAAACAAATTGTCAGTGAAACAAAGCACAAAAATGTGAATTATTGTGATTTTCCCCAAAACGCACGTGCAGCCTGCAGAACGACCCCTACAGTCTGGTGCAGTTCAAGAGCATGTCCTCTGTGCATGAAGGCATGTCTGTTGATTAAAAAGCAACCAATCAGCCCTTCTTTCTGGTTTTCGGGCAGCAACACAGAAGCTAAGTCTATCACACTCACCTTCCTTCCACATGCATTATTTAAACAACTGGCGTAAGATCCCAGCCACAGTAAAAACAAAGGGCTGCTGCAAGGGTTGTGCTAGGTATCAGGTTTTCAAGTCCACAACTTCAAAGTCACGCACCCTATCAAGACAAACAGCGCTGGTCATTGCTTGGTACACCCTCAACCACAACCGCACCCAGGAAGTGGAAACAGACAATAGAAGATGGCTTACACAATACACTCAGTGTCAAATGTGCAGTACTGCGTTGGAAGCCAAATTGTGTTGTGTCCTTCACTGTTACCATCTCCACCTTGTGTATACGCCATGCTTGCCATATTAGTAACAGTTCCTATGCATACAGCCCTCTCACACACAGAATGATTTGTTGAGCATCCTCCACTCAACAAGGTGACAATAACGTGCCAGAACAACACATGTCCACCACATACATGCAGTAACTGTAGTTGACATTTGAATGACATCCCCAAGATATGCAATGGTAGTGCTTGTCATTCAGACACCCCTAGACAATGCAGATTTGCACCCCACCTGGCACTCTCAACGAACATTTTCGTCTTGCCACTCCCAGTAGGGCCAACCACCACCCAGTTCCCCCCTTCAGCTGCCTTCTCCACGCATGCAAGTTGGTAGCTTCTCAATGGGCCAGCGGGCTTCATGGCCTGCACAGTGGAGGCCAACTTGCCGATGCCTCTGATTTGTGACAGTGGGAGTGGCAGCTGAGAACCTGCTGCCTGTGCAACCGACGCCTGCACAGCTGCTGCCTGTGGAATCGGTGCCTGTGGAACAGCCTGTGCAGCGGCTGGGCCTGCCAAAGCCGCAAACTTCTGTGGCACCGCAAGCAGCATTGATGCCGCAGAACTTGCTCCTTGACCAATGGTCCCTTGGGGCTGTGCTTGGACAGCAAGTCCAGCAGCGCTCAGGCTGAGGGCAGGCCCAGTGGTGGGCTGGGGCGCCACAACAGTTGGTGCTGACAGTGCAACCAGACTGTTGCTTTGCTGCGAGCTGCGCATAGCTGCCCCGCTGGAGGACGGCACCCTTGCGTTGAGGTCTGCAGGTGGTGTTGCAACATTTTGCTGGTCATGTGACGCTCCCCAATCCTGCTGTTGAACTTGTGATTGGTTCTGTGCAATCGACACAAGAGTTCCTGTCCCTGAAGCTGGCATCAATGCTCGTGGGCCTTGCTGCCCTTGCCCAAACGGAACAGTACCTTTGAGATCCATCGGATTCCATTGGACACCATTACTGAAGATTGTCTGATTGCTTGCAGGTCCTTCAGAGTATTCATCCAGGTCATCAAATAATCTCTGCACATTGACTGTACCAAACCTGATGAGAACCTGCTTACAGAAATGATCCTTGAAAACCTCATTTGTCAACCGGCCACTCATGTATTTGACGGCCTCTGATTCACTCATCTTTGCAAAATCAGGTGCCTGTGCACCTTGAGAGGGGCCCCAGCCTGCAGGGGCCGCAGCTCCCCCCATGCCAGCTCCTTGATGCACTGGAGACAACGATCCACCTACAGCCATCTTCCGTGAAGAAGGGGCGCTAAGAGCTGTCACAGGGGGATGGGAAGTGTTGGGCAACTCCCCAGGGACAGGCTGTCTCGTGCCAATTGGGCCCTGCACAGCTGGTCGTCCCATGCTGCGGCTGCCTGGCACATCCAACCCGTCATCCCCAAATGCAGCATTCTCTGCATGCTCCATCATGCCTGTCCTGAGAGACACTTTCCACTGGCGGACGACTTTGGTAATCTTTGCATAGATGGCCATCACCACCCCGTTTGAGTACCCTTTGTCCATGTGCTGGAGCACCAAAGCCTTGATAGGTTCTTTCAAATGCAAGAGAGACAGCTCAAGAGCAGTCCCCCTCTGCACAATGGAACCGGACACATACTGTTCCATCGCACCCCTCATCTGCTGCACGATCGACTGTCCCTTGGGGTCCGTACTGGGGAAGGCCATCAGGCAGCTGGACTCAGCAAAGGCTTCACCCAGACAGTCCACCACCAAGTCAGTGAACCTCTCAATGGCAAAGGTGACCAAATTGGATCCCGCAGACTGCTGCCAAAGATCATCCCTTTGAACAGTTTGTGACTGGCCCCTCTCCCGTAGTGGCTTGGAAATAGGAGCACTCAAGCCAGGAGGAGCACTCAAGCCAGGAGGAGCACCCAAGCCAGGAGGACGACTGACACCACTGTGGCCTTGCCCGGACCTCAGATCAGGCACACTGAATCCTGGCCAAGACATTCTGTCCTCTGAACTGCTGGCCATAGTTATTGCCGTTGAATGGCATGACACTCCGCTTTGAACCAGCTGCTGGTCTGACTCCTGGCAGGTCTCTCCATTACCACCAGCCAACGCCCCACTCATTGACAAACCCTGCCGTTGCCCATCTGCAGCACCGATTGTTGATGGAGGATAAGACCCCTGTCTGAGGCCTTGAGGGTGCAGCATGCCCTGCTGTGCTGAAACCAGGGCTGCACTCAAACTTGCATTTTGCCCATCTGGAGGGCCTTGCAGCCACTGCGGGTTGCTTTGTTGTCTGTCATGCTGCCTCACTTGCGTGGTTTGATTCTGCCCAAGATTATGTCCACGCTCAGAATGGCAGAACCCATGCTGCTCTCGCACCTGGCTTACCGTCCCCTGGTGCACCTCCGGGATGCGCTGTCCATCACTGTGACCTTGCCGCCAATGCAATGTGCTCTGTTGCCCTTCGACTTGGGCCAGAGTGGTGCCTCTACTGTGCGCTTCCATAGGTCCACGTTGCCACTCCTGGGTGCGCTGCCCATCAATGAGCCATTGTTGCCTTTGTGAGACAATCTGCTGCTCTTGACCCTGGGCTGCACTTGGACATCTGCTGTGCACTGCCACAGGCCCGTGCCGCAACTGCAGGATGTTCTGCTGATCTTGGGCCTGGGACACACCTGGGCATCCACTGCGTGCACCCACAGGCCCATGCCGCCATTCTGTGATGCCCTGGTGATCTTGGTCCTGGGACACACTTGCGACTGCTGATTGTCTGCTTCCTGCATGAAACAATTGAATGACCATGAAAGAGTGCAGTCAATGTGCATCGACACTATGACAGTAGTGGGCATCATCATGGCACAGCATAACAGCAGCGATCCCCCGCAGACAATGCAGACATAGCTGGAGGCAGCCATGACCAACTGCAATCTAAGGCAAACACATGGTATTGGTGGGCATGGATAACAACAAATAGGCATAAATACCTCTTCATTGACTAGTTTACACAGAAGGCATGGTCCAGTGCAATGTCATGAAGACAATGGGTTGGCTGGCAGGGAGCTCGCATGCCATCTTTCACAATAGAACTCCACCATGCTGCCCCCTCTGAGGGGAATAAATCAAGAATTTGACCAGTTAAATGTATGTTGTATCAAGAATACACAAGGTAGTAGTATTCTGCTCTGTCAGTGGCAGCCATGCACTCCATCACTGCTTCGCTAACTACCAATTTGACCCACAGTGAACTCATGTTGTGTGTATGACTTTTTGCGCAAACAAAAAGGATGCCCAGCTCAGCACATAACAGCAAAACTTCTGACTATGGACACATTCTGCACAAACTCAACTACGGTTCTTTCCTGCATCCCAGAGAGTCAATCCTCAATGATATGCATATGCGAAAACAGATGAATACCTACAATAGGAAAAGAGCTGTGGCAATGTACAACCAAGGGAGCATTTGCACTATCATGGCTGCCAGTCACCACGCACTGCCATTCTTGTAATTTGCAAGCTGGACAGCAAAGGTGCCACCTGTCAACAGGTGGAAGCAAGCCTGATACCATAGTCTATTCAACCCTTCCGCATCAAAGAATTTATGGTTACCCTAGTTGCTCTGCACTTTGTTTTTCATAGTGTTATTTCATTTTTTTTACATTGCTCCGCAAGAAACTTTGTTGAAAGATCGTTGTTTGTTTATTGTCTTGCCCACAACAAAGGCCAATCATTACATTGCTATGCGGAAGGGTTTAGAAATCTACAATACCTGCATTCTTGGGATCCCTCACAAACACCCTTACCTGGCACTGAACTAGGATGTGCTACGCTGTTGACACCAACATTCGTCTGGACACAGGTGGCATTCCCCTGTTCAGGCTGGCTGTCATCTTGTAAGGGGGAGTAGGTTCCCATGCCATCTTGCGACCCAAACCCACTCCGATCCTGCCAAGCATTCATCTTTGGGCAAGCAGGATACAGTACAGTCACATATGTGGGAGTTTGCATAGGCTTCACAGAAGTTGCAAGGAACAGAATGCATAGCAAACGGTGCTTGAATCATGAATAGCAAACACTTGAATCAGCGCAGTCAATACGCATCGAACGACCTCAACATGCACCTCAGTGGTCAGGACACAGTACACGAGCATTTGACGATGTGCATTGGGCACTGAGCTGGACACAGGTATGGCGGCAGTGAGATGGACACAACAAGGCGTATGCCCAAAATTCAATATCCAGCAGAGCTGCACTGCAGATTAACATGGCACTGGGCACAAAAGAACAAAGCCGTGCATACAACCTAGATCTAACATTCTAGAACCTGTAGATGTTGAGACTCAAGTACAACAAGCACTAATGGCTGAGTGTCAGTAAGTCTACACTCTTGTTGTTAATCAGGTGGACAGGCATCTGCCATCTATGAATGGTAGCGCACAACTAACCTGGTTTGGACTGGGCTGTGGCTGCGATTGCCTCAACAGTTGTGCCAGAGAAACAGCACCTGGCTGGTGCCCAGGCCCTCCAGTTTGCTGCTGCATTGGAGGCCCCACCGGAACAGGGGACCCTTGCACCATGCTTTCGCCATAGTGGTCCCTTGCATGGCTTGGCCCAGGGACAACACCAGAATCATGCCTCAAGACAGCTGTTTCGCCTGTACTCTGAGGTGCAGGTGGCATCCCTGCAGGCACAGCAGTGCCAGCATTTCCAGTGGGGAGTAGCCCTGCTCCCTGCGGCCCCCCCTTGCACTGCTGGTCCCTTGTCGATCCCGCAGTCGCTGCCTGCTGTTGGCGTGAGGCATTGGCAGGGGGATGTGAAGGGATCGGATGCCCTTGATCAGTGGCCCCACTTGATGCTGCAATGTGGGCATCAACACATCCAGTTGGCCACTGCCGCACATGGCCTCCAGCCACTGGAGCAAGTCCACTCCCGCCAGAGGCCTCTTGTGCCTCTGGTCCATACCTTTGCAGACTGCTTGGGACACTTCCATTTGAGCTGTGCATTCTCTGGTCCATGGCATTGGATGGAGCAAAACCTGGCAGTCTGTTGTGTTGTTCCCCACAAACTGTGGACTTCACCAAAGATTGTAACCCTGCCTCTTGCACCTCCTTACCGTGCCCTCCGTTCTGCACCCTCGAAAGTACGTTGTGCTGTTGGCCGCTGTAGTCCAGAGTACCCTCTGCCTGGTGCTTCTCTGCCAGCATAAGACTTGTGCACATGGATCGTGATTCATCCTGGGCATCGTGAGGGGCCATGCCAGCACTTGACTGCCACTCAGTTTGTTGCTTCATACCAAGGGAGGCTGGGCCTGAACCTACAGGTGAAATTTTGACATTTGCAGCAATGGACTCTGGCTTTGTGCTGGCCCCTGCATATGTCCCACTGCCCAGCACACACCTTGGGGGTGTGCTTTGGAATTGAGGCAGCGTTGCTTGTGTTCCAGACAGTTCAACAGACTGGCACAGCCCACTGCCCTGGATCCCTGCAGACTGGTGCAGTGTCACCTGTGTCAACTGAGCAATGTTGGTCAGCGGGCCAGTTGGGGATGGGCCAACCATGAGGATGTGGTAGAGCACAGCCGTCCTGTCCAATTGGTAGGACTCAGAAAAGCATGCCTGTGGCATCTGCTTGGCAACTGCCTCTCTGTAGTCCCAAATGGTGTTGATGCTGCTGGCTGAAAAGCCCGCCATTTGAACGAAGGGCAGGCCGCACACAGTGAATACGACCTGCCCATTTTGTCGACGCTCACATATTTCCACCAGATGATCTCCATCCAGTAAGGGGTGCACGTGTTTGACAGTGGCGATGGAATTTAAATGCTCCAAGTTGCACGGATGCATGGTGGTGAAAAAGGTGTTCGTGGCCCCAGTAACAAGAACTCTTTGCTGTTGGACCTGCCAGCCACACAACAACACGCTGGATAAATAGAACACGTAAATGGCATCGTTTGTGCCAGTTTCGGATGAGCAATCTTGCTTGCAGGAATTCTGCCTTGCCAACGGCGCACTGTGTTCAGTTGTCACAGGCTCAAATGGGATCTGGCGACATTCAGACAGGCACATCTCATCCACAACAGACAAGCACAGTGGATGTGTCCCAATCATCGACATCCAGGTGCAATTCAATACCACGCGTGGCAAATTTCATGGCACCCCAGACCCTTGCATTTTGCAGGCCATGACAGAAGCAGAAATTGTCACGTGGCATTGTTCAGTTCACCCAGAGCACAGTTCCACACACCTGATTTGCACACTCCTGAGAAAACAGCAGAGAGACACAAGGAACACATATGGGCAAGGAAAAAAAGCACATAGAAAAGAACAGAATGCGGTCATCAGATGCAAGGCAACTGTTTTGCACTGAGGCAAATGTACATGCAGTGGCATGGAAAAAAAAGTAATTTTCAAAGGATATCATTACAAGGACTTGGCAGTCCTTGTTTGTGTACGTTCAGTCCACCAATCCATGTGTGTCCACAGCCCGTGTGGGGGCCATTCACTGCCCCATTCTCAAACAATACCCTTCATTAGTGTTTCTAACTTGCTTTTTGGATGTGTACATCACATTTTCCAGTCTTAGGCTTAGTTTCTTGGCTTTCCATGGTTTAGGTATTAGAGCCATCATAATTGGACAGAAGGGCTGCACGTGCACAACCAACAAAGGGCCGTCAGAGCATGATAAGTAAACTGGCATCTGGTCCACATTGTTACCTTGTCCAGTCGATACAGGATGGCACTGCTGTCTTCATTTGCCTTGACCACCCTTCTTGCCCTCAAGATATGAAACTGCCCAAATGCACTCAAGGTCACTTTAGACCAAAGGAATGCAAGAATGAAACAGGCACCTTGCCAAAGCAGATATCCATGTGTAGACTGTCAACTGCCTTGTGCTGCTGATATTGCAGGGGAGTACAAACAACTTCAAAGTATATGCACCCTTCAACGCTTTTCCCTGTGCTGGTGAGATTTTGTGCCCTTGGAAGCAAGATTCTGCAGAAAAGATCCAAAGATCAGAATGTGCCACTTTGGGCAACGATCCACCCAAAATGTCATAGACTACCAAAAGTGTCATAAGCTGCGGTAGAGGCGCTTCGCTTACTAGCATCTGTCATGGTGGTGTCACCCGTACAGATGACTCAGAAATTTGAGGGCTGCTTTCTCAATTAGGCTACAAGGTCTGCTAAGTTGTCCATGATCGAAACTGAACTCATTTTTCTGCATCCATCAACGACTCCACAGATGCTGGAATTCCTGGTTAAACACGAAGCGAAACAGGCGGTGCACGAACACCCCACGACATCCATTAGGCCATGAAACTGTGCCAGTGTCCCAAACGGAGCAATGTTCAAACCAATGGGGTTTCCTTGCAGACCATTGAACGTCTTAAAGCTGCAGGTCACGAGCGACAAGCATGCCCTTTCGTGAATCTCGCCAGCGTAAGAGATAGCCGAATGTTCGCGCAATTTGTACCCTGCCCTCTCACTCGATGTCCCCAGGCGACGCCTCCCCGTGTTGCATCGACACCGCTCCACGTCATCACGACCATAGAACCACCCCCCAAGCCCTCCTACGGCAACGCTGACGTCGGCCGCCACAACTCGCGGAGCCGCCAACAGAAGAAAAGCACCCCCGCGCGGTCCACCCGCGCACCTGGCGTTCGATCCCCTCATTCCCCCCCTCGCTCCTCACGACCGTGGACTCGCATCTTGCCACGCCCGCGACACCCCCCGCGCCTCCGCCATCCGGGGCCCCGTCCGCTGGCCGCCAAACCGGCTCCGAGTACTCCACCCCCTCCGCCAGGCCGCTGGCCACCCATCCGCTGGAAAACTCCTCCGCCCCCTCCTCCTCGATCAGCACCAACCCCCGGCGACCCCGATCCCCATCCCTCTGCCACCCGATCACCGCCTCCATGGCCAGCCCCAGGCGCCGCTCGGAGCCCTCGGGCGCGCCCTGGATCATCGGGAACCCGACGTCCTCCACGCTCGATCCCGGCATCGCCATCGCCGATGCCCTGTTGTCCAAAAGGTAGGCGCACTGATCAGCGGTAAGGTGAGCGCCGTTGGCGTCCTCGAGCATCTTGGCGACGCCGCCGGAGGGGCGCCCGGCCATTCCTGCGCCCGTCGGCCCCGCCGGGCGTGTCTTGGGCGGTTTATCTGCCCGCGGGAGGGCACACCGTGACGGACAGAATAATATTACTGCCTGCACCAAGTCACGTGCACACTGTGTCCCAACCTCAGTTTTAGGGTCAGGCTTAGTTTCAGGGCGATGTTAGGGTTAGGGTTAGGGTTAGGGCAGGACTGGTTTTAGGTTTTAGGGTTTAAGTTTTAGGTTAGGTAAGTCTTGGAGGCAGTTGGTGCAAAACAGTCACCGATTCAGTGCAGATAGTCACCGACTTGGTGCCAGTAATTGTGTGCCGTGACGGACCGACATCGGTTGTAGTTGACCTGCCTTAAGTACAGATACCCAGCACGATTGTGGATCAAGCCGTGGAACATGCCACCACCGATGCCTGAATGCGGGAAAATATATTGGTCCCCCTGCTTTGAAGTAACATTACTGCCTACACTAAATCGGTGATTGCTTGCACTAAATCACATGCACAATAGGTCCTCACCTTAGTTTTATGGTTAGTGTGAGGGCAGGTGAACGGTTAATGTATAATACATGATATATGGTGTGTTTTTGATGGTGGAAAGTAAATATGGTGGACATGGTGTTATGGTGAATACACATGGGGACAATGGAGATGGGGAATTATTGCTGTGATTGGTATTTAGTCAATACACTCATTCTGTAATGTATCCTGCTACGGTTTTGCTTCCCGTGCCTGGGAGCGACCGTGTGCGAGTGTGCGCGAGACCGGTCAACTCGATATGGTTTCGGAGTCGGGAACGGACCCTGGGGGACCAGGTGTCCGATGGCAGCGTGGGAAACGCCGCCATCCCGTTTTTCAATCCCCGAGCGCCGCCATGGTTTTGGCGGTGCTCGGGTTGGTGGTGTTGTGGGAGGCGATGGTGGACTTGAGGTGCCGGGTGGAGGCCACGGAGTGGGATCGACAGGGCTCATTCCAAGCGGCCATGGTCGGGTGGAGGGATGGGGAATGGAGGCTCAGGGGATTGGCGCACCAACGGCCCGGACATCCGATGGCGTGGATGCCGGGCCACGCCCCTAACCCTACCCCACTCGGGATGGGGGCTGCGACCTTTCTATTTCCGGGGGTAGCGACCCGCCGTCTGGCACAGCGGGGACGGCCACGGATTGTGCGACGAAGGAAGCGGCGAGGAGATGATTGGAGGCGCAGGATGATGCGCGTTGAGCGGCGGGGTGGGCGAGTCGGACGGGTTCAACTGAACGAACCATTGGCGAGCGTGGAGCCCATTGGAGCATCATGGAGGCGATTCGATGCGGCCGGCCAGCAAGCTGTGACGATAGGCCCCCGGCCGGAGGCACCGCGGCGACCGGTGGAGCTGATGGAAAGGCGCAGCACGGCGATGCCCGCGGGGGGTGGCGGGGACCCATCGATTCGGAGCACGGAGGCGGACCCGGCGGAAGGGCGGACCCCTTACGATTCAACGGACCGGCGGGGCCGGCGCAACTCGGCGGTCTGGAGAGATCCGCACGGCTCGGCAAGTGCTACGAAGGGAGCCATGGAAAAAGCATAGGGATGGCTTACCGGCCATTGGCAAGCGACGGCCGCAGCATGGCGGCATGGCGGGTCCCTCGCGGACGATGGCGGCTCCTCTCCGTGGACGGCAGGTGGGCGCGCACGAGCGTGGGCCGACAGCGGAAATGTTGTGGAACTACTTGGGGGCAGGCAGTAAATGATATTTTCTGCAGCTATATTACGTAATCTCGCTGAGTCATCCTTATCTGTGGTTTTATTATGACTTCCTGGTTCCAATGCTTCTTTCAGCACTCAATTCTGTGGATTATTGAGGAAGATACGGCTTCGTGAAGACGCAGTACTTAGAGGCCGGGTGCTGGGTGGGGATGGTTGGAATTAGAGCTAGATTAGGTTGATTATAGGTGACCGGGGGCGCTGGAACACGGTCCGTACATTACACTGAGCTGTCATTGTCTGATGTGACGCGGTGGACCCGCGACCGGGCACTGCGCGGAATGTATGGATGCGCGCCGCGCGCGTCAGACTGTAATCGCAATTCGGGCCCCCTCTCTGCCCCGCCGCGAGGCAGCGAACCGCCGACCGCCGCCGCGAACCCACCGCCTGCACACGGCAGGCTTCGGGGAAGGTCCCCGAGCGTCCAAGGGCCCACCGCGCTACCGAAGAAACGAGCACCCCGTCAACGCCCGCCGCAATCCGGCGGAGAGGCGCGGCATCGAGGCCGCGCCATTGGGTGCGGCGACCGCCCCCCAACTCCGGAAACCAGCGGCCGCCCGCGGGCCGCAACAAGTGGTTTCGGAGCGGAGCCGAAGCCAGGAGCCGAGCAGGACGCGGCGGCGAAAGAGAGACCCAAGAGGCGCGGCCATTCGCCGCGGAATCGCCGCGCCAGAGCCACCCCATCCAACCGCGGCCGCGGAGGCGATCAGCCCGATCCGGGGGCTGAATCGCCGGGGAGATCCGCGGCCATCGAGCCCGCGCCCCGATTGGCAATTCTGCGGGGCCATCTGACCGGCGCGCGGAGAGAGCCGGCGAGAGCCGTCCAAGGGGGTGACCAGCAGGTGGCCAGCACCCGGAGGAGCCGCGCCAGGCGCTCAACGCGCAGCCGAACACGCGAGGTCCAGTCAACCCAAGCCTCCAGTACTTTAAGGTGCCAGAGCACCGGTACTGGGCCAGTTCCAGCGAGCCAGGAAGAGCTGCAGTGTGCCAGGACCTCCCAATCAACCAGAAAGGAGCAGAAAAAGGAGCAGACAGGTGACTAAGCCCAAAAGAGGGCAGGGCCCCAAGAAACAAGCCAATACCACCCGCCTAAGAAAAGGGGGTGAAGGACCTGCCCTAGAAGTGGAGGTCAATCTGCTGCTTCAAATTGTGATGCAGGTACTGCAGGCGGGCCACAACTAGGCCGCTCTACAAGGAAGATTGGGGCCCAGTTCAGGGGAACTGGGGGGAGATTCGGCACGGCACTAGGCAGGCCCTTCGGGGTCCAGAGATGCCCCTGCCTAGTGGCAGGTATCCCCCAGGGAACCGGCTAGCGAGGTGAGCCCATTGGCCACCTCAGGTACACAGATCTGACCCACCCCGGTGATGCTTGGTGGGCAGATCTTAGCAGAATAGATGAGGCTGGGGGTGCCACAGGCCAACCCAGAATGGCCATAGCAGGCCGCCTCTCCGTACTCCCCTCGTCCCAGGCATGGGACATCAGGCTAGATTACTGCGTGGAAGTTGGGACTAGGGCACATTAGTAAGCACAGACGCACCCTCCGGAAAGTTACTAGGGGAACCGAGAGGTTACCCTACAGAGTACTGAGGGTAACTGTGTGCGAAAGTGTGCCTGAAAACCAGCGGAAGCATGGTGATTCTGGTTTAAGAGGTCAAGGGGAGGATAGGGACTACATTGGATAGGGGGATCAGTGTCAGTAGTCCAAGATCAGGTCTACCCAGTGACTACACAGTTGCAGCTGTGTGAGAGGACAGCAGTGATGGGTTGCAGTATACAGTATTGCTACAGCAGTTTTGAGGGTGTACCAACGCAGACAGGGACATCATGGAGTTGCAGGAGCAGGAGGGCGTGTACATCAGAGCTGGTTCAGTAGAGACAGTTGCAGGATCAGGGAGGTTACTGGACCAGAGCAGAGGTTGAGTATGGTTGACACCACTCGACTACCGAGGTCAGAGTCACGCTCTTCAGGGGGTTCCCATTGTTCTCGTTCGCCAAGTGCATCTACAGAAGCTGCACCATCGAGGACCAGATCTGTACGTAGAGAGGAAATAAATTCTGGGGTATTTGACATGACAATAAAACCCCGCAACCCACCTACATTCTCAGGACGGACACAGGATGATCCAGAGATGTGGGTTGGGCAGGTGTCGAATTTTTTTCGCCTGGTGGGAGGGCCACCACAGAAGCAAGTTGCATATGCTTCTACGTTGCTCCAGGGTACTGCACAAACCTGGTGGCAACGGAAGGTCAAGGCCTGGGAATACCCCAAGGATTGGGAGACACTCGCAGATCAGCTGATTTGCAGGTTCCAGAACAGGAACAAGGCAGATTCTGCGATGGCTGCCCTGATGAACATAAAACAGAGGAAGGAAGAGAGCACCCACGATTTCATCTGCAGATTTGAGGCGGAGTTGGATAAGGTGGATACATACGATGAATCGTGGGTACTGAAAATGTTCATCTGGGGTCTTCCTCAAGACCAGGCAATGCTAGTATCCCAGGGAAAGCCCACACGACTTAGTCAGGCTTTCCAGTTGGCCAGGGATGCTGCCTTGGCTACCCAGATGGCGAGACGCCCAGGAACAAGTGGAAAAACAGAGAGGGGCATCAGCCAGAAAGGCCAAGGACGTGGTCAGGGCAAATCTACAGGCCAGCATAGGAGGACAGGGCAGAGTTCGACGCCTAACACAGTATGCCAGGCGCAGGGTCATTATGTGCAGCATGGGGGGAAACATCGTGGCAGGGGGCAAGCTGGTAGGCCTTCCGTCCCACCACAGCCAGCAGTTGTTGTGAGACATCCTGCACAACAACAGGCCAGTGGATCTGGACAGAGGGGACGAGGACAGGGTAACCAGAGGAGGCCCCGGGCAGCAGCCATAGCTGCTCAGGTTGATCATGGGGATGGCTGGTCATCAGGACCAGGAGGCTGCTCAGCACGCAGCCGTGAGAGGCACCGATGCTTCCTTGCATCAGGGGCAAGGAAACTGACTGGTCCCCACTCTGGCAAGTCAGGAGATAGTCGGGGGCAACAGGGACAGGTCATCCAGAGGACATGTACCTTACAAAACAGGACACTCAGTCGCGCCAGACATAGACGTCAGCAGAAGAAGTGGAGGTGGTTGAGAAGGTTGGAAAGACATCGGATCCGACGCGCACAGTGCACTGAGCAGAAACAAGGCTCAAGTGATGACACCCGGGAGATGGCTTTAAAGTCTCCAGCCCAATTGGGAGAGACCCCTTTGGTGTCAGTGCAGAGGATTGAGCCTGCTC